AAAATCCTGATGGTATGTTTTAATGTTAGATGTATATTTAAAACATTATTCCGAAGGACTTTTGTTACTGTTTTTAGGGGGATTGTTTTTAAATCAGAGGAACAGATAGAAATAGGCTAATGAAAGTTGGCTCACTCTCTTTTCAACCGAATTTTCAGTAGTCCATTTTGTTTTAAGTTAATATGGATTGTGGTATTTAACGGCTGCATCTTTTGTGTTTTTTGTTTTTGTTTTTCTTTGTGAATGCATAGACTCAATTTCAAGCTGTTAACTGTATCTTTCTACTGTTAAGGTACTGATAAGTTTTAGGTCGCTGAAGAGAGCAGGTGAGAGCATGTACAAACTGTTCCAGCCTTTTGAAAGAAACTTAAATCTCATTTTTTAAAAAGCCTGTAATAAGCCCCATGCCTTACGCTGTGTGCTTTAAGCAAGTGTGGTTTCTTCAAGACCTCAGTTTTGTCCTCTTTTTGTGTACTCTATGAATTAATATGAGTAGATAAAGCATGTTGTGCCTCCATCAGAAATTACATTCTGCAATTTAAAATCCACACCGACTTAAAACCAAAAGCCAACCGGTGATCTGATTCCCCTTCATCCGTCTGCTTGGAAATGTCCTTCAGGGAGACCCTGCTGACAGTGGAGTGCAGGAAAAGGAAAGAGTATTCGAATGGGTGGAAGTTGTGTGAACCTCTCTCAGGAATTAGGTACTTCTGCTGTGTCTGAGAGGACTTAAAAAATCTCCACAGTTTGTGAAATATTTTATAGGCTTCATTTCAAATTTACATTTTTAGATGCTTGAATAAAAAATTAATTTCACAATCCTTCACATTTCTGCAAGGTTTAGCACATCAGAAGAGTTGAACTGAAAGTAAAGACTTTGAATTAACAAAGACATGCATTTATGGTGGTGGAGCAAAGGCGAAGTTGATCTGGATGAGAAGAGAATTACTGATGTCCTACTGGAAGAGATTCGGTCTCTCCTCTTCCAGTTCCTCTGGATGCTCTTGTGTTCTTTCTTTAAATTTCCCTGCCATTCCTGCACAGTATAGCTCAATCAACGAAAATGCCCCAGCGTGTACAATCGCTGTGAGGATGGTGCAATTAACTCACACCAGTAGAGTGGAGAGCAAAACAGAAGCAGCAAAGAGGTCAGCCTAGTTGCAGGGCAGAGACCGAGTGATGCCTCTGCCCCATGGGCTGTAACAGCAGAGTTACATAGTTTTAGATGTATCTAGCATATGATGAAATATTTGGACAGAGCAAGTATTTCTACCGATTTATTTTTATTTTGCTCTGATAGAGGGAACAGTTTCCATGTTGTTCTTCTGAAATAGGCCTTGGTACATCACCCAGATAATTAAACTAAATAGCAGTGTCTCCCGAATCAAATGCTGCTAGAGAGGTGAAGTGTTCATTTCACGCCTCTGTAGGCTCTTTTTTTTTTTTCCCCTCGGAGCAGACTCTTGGCTACTCTTAACAGGTATAACTCCATTGCTGTGAAAGGAACCAAGCCATTTTTACCCCCTCTGCAGATCTGATTGCATCGGTTTGTCTCAGTTTGATACGCAGTGCCAACACAGCTGTTGCAGCGATCAGCAAACCAGCTGTCCCTAAGGGAAAGGGGAGGCAGTGAGCAGTGTATCTAGGGTGCTGAAGTAAGAGTACCTCCTGGGATAACCAGCTATTTGGTAGCCTCAAGTATTGGGAAAGTTTTGAATTAGGAAAACCAAGTAGTGAAAAGCTTTGTTAACGGACTAAAATCCCTTAGTCCGGACTCTCTAATGAGGTCTAGTGAAGAGCTGTGTGAACGTCAGGGCTCATACAGTGCTCGTCTGAAATCTGTGCAATACGTCTTGCCCTAAACATGTGTTTCTTACGAGCAATATTCGTGAGCGTCCTTTGCATCAAAGAAACTCCCACAACTTAGGAGGGAGTTCTCTGGTCAAGTGCTGGATCTTGTATTAGTCGCTCGGATGGATCTGGATGGATCTGGCCCACCGCCTCTGGTGTGATAGACATATGGATATGCGACGTGGTAAACGGTGCACTGCTTGCATGTGGTGTGGATCAAGCAGATTCTGCTGGGAGTAGTTTTACCTCTGCACTGTGTAGGTAACTTTCTAGTGATCGGAGGGCATTAGAAAACCCAAGTTTTAGGTGAAACACCACAGGGTGGTGTCTATTTATGGAATATGCAACCTGTGACTGCTGTAACTGAATGTAAGCACTCTTGAAATACTCTGCTTTGCTGATGTGATTGTCTTAAAATACAGCAAATGAACCAAAATAAGTAAAACTGGTCCAATGGCTTAACTGTCTTTGAACCTTTCTTAAATGCTTGCAGTGGCTGAGGCATGATGATGTTTCTTGCACTTGGAGCTCTAATGCAGAGGAATTATTTTCTCCTTCACTGATTTTCAATCTGTTAGAGAAAATAGTTCTCTTTTTGGCCCCTTTTGTGGAGTGTCTGGGAACATAGTACCTGCTCACTTCTCAGAGTCCTCCAGGCTAAGACCAAGGCTCGTACCATAAGGGAAAGCTGTTCTGACAAAGTTTTTAAGCAAAAAGCTTGCTTAATTTTGAAGCTGCATTCGTGTGCTCCTTGGGTCCATCTGCATTGCTGGAAGTGTTCTGGACAAACCATTATCTTTGCTTCTAAAACCCAGAGATACTGATGATGTCAGTCATGTCAGACTTAAAAATGTGAAGTTTGTAGCTTTAACTTTTTTGTAACAAAGAAACTAGCAACACTGGCATAAAGTGCTGACTTGAAATGCTATTTTGTAAGATCTGGCTGTTTGTATATAATAGTGTTGGGTCATTAGTTTGTATATGTATGAAATAGTAACTTTTATTGCATTCATCTGAGTTTGATATGGGAGATTTTGTTTGATCTTTCTCAAATATCTTGCCTTATTTGTTCAAAGGGGCAAATAAACTGTCCTTACCTGAAAGCATCAGTGTTGTGACTCATTTATGCATTAAAATACTCTGGTGTATTATTGCTTATCAGGACAAGTTTTAACATGACGTGCCTCTAGTCAACCAATGTTACGCAAAATTCTGGAGGAGCATACAAGCTTTAACAAACACAAGCAGTAAACATGTCAAATACATTTTTGAACAGGCAATTCTTTAGCCTTAAAGCATTATTAATTCTGCACCTTAAGGAGAGATTTGCGTCAGTTCAGGGGCAGGTCTGCGTGCTGCCAGCTCTGTGGCAGTTCAGAGGGACGGGCGGTGGAAGTTCAGGCTGCTTCCCCACACACCGAGGGGCGTTGGCAGCCCTTCCTGGGGCTGCAGTCGCGCAGGAGGTTCGTTTGCCCCAAGGGGTGCTCCGGCAGATGGGGAGGGTGAGCTCTGCTGTAGACACTTGCTATCTCTGTTCTGTTATTTCACACTGCAGCAACTTTCCTGAGCCTGCAGTCAGGTTTGGGACTAGGTATGTATCAATTTATCCACCTTCCTACACAACAGGTGAGGCTAGAGGCTCATTCTCCTAATTCTGGCTGACTTGCTGCACTTTCAGCTTTCTAGCTCGGAAAAAGATGAAGTTGACAGTGAGTGGGTGCTGTCTTCCAACGGAGAACTGTTGGCTTCTACGTGGTTTCCCTAAGCAGTTACTAAATCTGTCGTGAAGGGATGACTAACCAAAGCAGAGACAGAATTCATTCAGGAGTCAGCTTTGGTTAGCAATCCCGGAAGAAACAAAATAGATTTGAGCTTTTAAA